ATTGGATATTGGCCCCAACAGCATATCATATCAGAGCATCACTCCTCTTGAACAATCCGTTTTTGTTGTTTTTTGGTGTTGCACCGGTGGTTACTGGCAGCAGCCCATCTGAATGCAGCGTGTCAGTAAATATTGGAAATTGGCATTTCCTCGGGGTGAAATGTCCTGAAAGGTCAGAGTCAGGCGGATCGGCTCTGTCTGCTGCTTATAATGGGATTCAGTGGAACTCTGTGGCATTTGTTCTGCAATAATGGGGCCTAGCCTTTCCATCGTCACCATCACATATATAATGTTAAACATAAACATTGCATACATACTTTCTTTTTGTGCTGCCAGTATTTGATTTGCTTCATCCCTTTTCATATTTTAACTTGAAACAATCCTCAAACATTGTTCAATGTCTGAATTGGCTCATTGTTATCCAGAGGGCATTTAAATAGTACTGTGTAAAGGAGGTAACTGGAAAAGACTCACACAGCTAAAATCAGAGATGTTGATTTTTAGTACCTGAATAAAATAACAGGTGTGTGATGTCTTTGTTCAAAAAACCCTGATATAACTACCCCACCAAGCTCAAGGACTTGCAATTTATTTTAACTGAAAATCAAGAACACAGGCTTCTATCCAAACTTCTGATGAGCTAATTTTCAAAGGTCATACTACCATATTTAAACCACACAACATTTTAACACCATGAAAAAACACTGACTAGGGCTGCATGATTTGGAAAAGAATTATTACAGTTACCGTGTATATATACAGTTGCAATTTTTCTGACAAGCATTGCATTTACGATTGGATATGCATTGTACCATTTGATGCTTTGATACGTTACAAACTTCACTATGTAACTTTTTGGTTTGTATGGATGTGTCATTGCTCTGCCTGGAATGTTCAGAGCATGACATTAAGCAGCTCTACCTTACATTTATTCAATCACAGGTGGTGTTACTGCTCAAAAATATCTAGAAAAACAGGCATTCTGACTGTGAGTGGGGTTGCCTCTCCACAGATCTGACCTGTGACTTGGTCTGGTCTGGTTTCCATGAAAATAGAAAATTTTAATACCATACTGTGAAACATTCCAGGCAAAGCAGTAACATTTACATGGAGAAAAGCATTTGACGGACCCTCCACCAGAAAAGTTACACAATGCACCTTTAATTTTAAATGCATCCAGAAGAATTGACAAAAAAGAATGAAATATGAACAGACAAACTAATACAAGAATCACATTTCAAAACATATTTGTACATGTTTGTAAACTACAGGGTTAGCACTTTTTATGTACAATAAAATAGGAAAAGGTTGCAAATTTATTACGGTAATTGCATTCATTCAAAGTCATATTTCAAATTTCAATTAATCTTGCATCCCTAAGAAACTGCCTGATACTAATTTGACCATTTGAGTAAGAGTCCAACATGTCACCGTCCCCTCTGTGCACCGCTAATGTATTCACGTGTGTGGCTGGGTTTCCTGAGTGCAGCTGAGTATGGACACAAGTGACGCTTTCACAGTGGACTGCCTCATTAGCATGGACCACTGCATTAGGGCAGCATCTCTCCAGCCTTTTCCTATTGTATATATTTCTAATGCACGCTCAGTCTCCTCGCGCTGCTGTGACTGGCTTAAAGATCCCACACATTGATGTCGAATAGTCAGTTCTTGTGTCTCCTTAGGCTGTTGCTGTACCCAGTGGGATTCAGACATGTTATTTACTGCTCCGTACTGCTCCCCTGAAGCGCTCCTCCCCACTCCCCCTCCACTTCTTAAACTTCTTATTTTTCTAATTTACTTTTTGTACCCTTCTTTTAAAAAAATGGGCATATATGTGTTATTCCCATTCTCACTGATGAATGATTACTTTAGCCTGCATCTTCTGGCATAACGGTCCTCAATAGATCAGCTCGCTTGGCCCATTCATCTTTTATTAATCAGAGCCGCCTCGATGTAGCGCTTTTTGTACTACAAGTGTTTTGTTCCACTAGTACATAATTCAATACTAGTTCCAGTTGTATTTGTAGTAATTAGTAATTCTTTCTAAATGCTAATTTCTATGTTTAAGATCCAGCTATTCACCCAGGTAGACCTAATAGACCCAGCAGGATTGGGGAAAGAAAAGCCTGATTATCTTTTCAGAGGGGAAATAACATTACAATTAAAATAGTCTTTTCTCATTTGCACTCAGGGCAATGGTTGCACTGAGGTTAAAACTCAGTTTGTGTTCGGTTTAATAAAATGAAGCATTAATTACATATCAAGTTTGGAGTTAGATTTTTTTTACATTAACTGAGCTATTTGGTTCATTTCCATATTGAACTCCTTTTAACAACAATGACAAAAAGAACAAAGTATTTTATAGTCTCCAATGACACCTTAGTTCTTCATACTGGCATTGTTATAAATATGGTGATGGCGATTGTACAAATGATCAGTCTACACTGTTTGTGTCATTTGCCTCTGAGAGCCTCTGTACTTGTACTGCAGAACTGCACAAAGCTGCCTCGGCCAGCTCCTTCTGTGAACAGACCATCAATTAAAAGATTGGCTTCCATTACCTCTGCTTCACCTTTTCCCTGCTCTCAGAATTAACAGCTGCCGAAGGACTCGTCCTTTAGACAGCGCTGCACCAGCAGAACTTGCACTTTTCAGACTTTTTTGTTTGCCTGGTACCCTCATGGTCACCGCAGAGTGTTTGACTGATTTAGGCAGTTAGGGTGGAGATAGTTAAGTGAGTAAGGCGTATTGGGGGGGTTTGCTCCTAACTGGATGACTGGCAGATAAGAGAACAGTCAGTGGCCTAATTAGTGTCCTGGCAGGAGGCTGTTTAGACACCTCTGGAAAAGGCTTGGAAACACTTTCAGAAGGAAGAGCCCAAGTCTGTATACATAATTAGACATTCAAATGGTGCCAGTTGTAAATGAGGTGCATTTGGGAGGTACTTCCACCTGCCGCTTTTAAGAGCTTTTTATGATAATTTATTCAGTTTCTTAAACATGTTGTTGCTTCACTGCTACTGTCAATGTAGTACCTGAGTGAAGCAATGTTTTATTGCTTCACTCTTTTTAAAAATATGACTTCACTCTTTTTAAAAATATTGTTTTCTTCTATATTGACAAAATTCTTAGTCTGACGCTTTTACAGTGGACTGCCTCAATATTTTTTCCTGCTATCTTGACAAACCTCTTAGACTTACACACGTGTTATATTTCATGTCACAAATGACGTATTTGCTATCTTTGTATGGTCAACTTTAAGTGGGGGCACTCTCCGTTTTCCTATACTGCAAAAGCAGCAATTTGTGATAAAATGTGGCCACTGAGCACTGTCTGTAGCTAATCACGTAAACATTATTAGATAAGACTACATTTACAAAGTAAAAGTAATTCCTGTCAACCTGGGCTGGAATTAAGGGCTGAAAGCAGTGTTCTGATTGTGTTTGGGCTTTCCACCCCCGTTTCAATTCACTGTCTGAAAAAGCTGCTATAAAGCTATGCAGGCACCCAAAAAGTATTATTACAACGGGTTTGTCAAAGCCACAGACGAGCTAGACCGATTTAAATACCTACTTTCTACTTCTGTGGTGTGAAAATCAGCTTTAAGTAATTTGAGACTGTTTATATTGTTTTAATTATTCAAATTCACACCACCTCTCAAAGGAGTTCTCGCGTCTTATATTGCAAACCAAATCATTTTCTCACCAGAGAGACTGATTGACAGTCGAATCCCAATAAAAATTTACATCTGGGCTCATCTTGAATGCACTTAACCCGGAGAAGATGAGTGATCAATCTCTTAGCTTGTGGGCGTGTGTTTGTCATTTTGGCTGTGAGCACGTCCCTAATGTGGGTGTCTACCTTAGCTGTCACACTGCTCCTAACTCATCTTGATAAAGTGCACTATCATGGGGACTGTAGAATCGCATAAATATTCAGATTGAGTGGTGCCACAAAATGAAAAAAGTGACAAAAGTTGATTCATTGTCGCCTCTGTTGGGTTTTAAAAACACAAGACGTCATAGTAACAGGCTAATTAATTAGACATTTTCTTTGCAGTCTATTGTGCAGAATGCTGGTACCTAGACCTGTTACAATAATTACTATAGCGACTTCAATATATGAAAGCTAGAATTACATATTTTGGAGCTCAGTATTTATCGTGGGTATATTTTCTTTGCAGATGTGGAAAGATTTTAGTTATTTTTGTTGTAATACAATAAAAATTTGAGCTGTACAGAGTTGAATAAGTCACTTCTATGGCTAATTATTGGTTCATTTATTTGCTATTTATTTGTCGCAGCTCATGCCTTTTAGTGATAATGTTTATTTAAAATGGTATGTGATTATCCTGCTTTATTTTAATCGTGTCAGGCATGAAGTAGATTTTGCATTATCATTTATTGCAATATTTGTAGCAATATATCATTCTTCAAGCTTCAGAATTTGTTATCTTGACATGCCTACTGATAACTCGGAAGGACTTAAATACAGTCTGGTATTGGTATTAACTATCAGAGTAATTACCAGAAAGTACCAATAAGTACCAGTGCAAGTACCCTAATGTCCTGCCCAAGATCAGAATTGGGCCAAGGATAAAATAATGTATAACAGTTAAAAATATAAGTCACTCCACTTCATAATTACTGATAAATGTTTTTTTTGGTACATTTGTTGCTTCGATGATCTGGCATTTCCTACTGGATAACATAGTACTCAATTTCAAGGAATGTGGGGATTTTGTACCATTTGTGAGGGGAAGAAGGAAGTTTAATCTTGATCTTAATTATAAGTCCTATGGCTCAGTGGATAAACGAGAATCTACCAGAAGAGAGCGGCTTAAGCATTCTATCTTTGTCATTGCAAGAGAGTGCCTTTGCAAAGATCCACCAGCTAATAATATTTAGAATCTTTAATCTTGTTTTCATTTATACATCTATTCACCACCTGCTAAAACTGTGTAGACATTCGCTCACTGCTTTCTCCTCTCTTGTCTTTCAGTGCCCAGACTCCACTTGTAAACAGGACTTGTTGGCCTACCTACAGCGTATTGCCTTGTACTGCCACCAGCTCAACATCTGCAGCAAAGTCAAAGCCGAGGTCCAGAACTTGGGAGGAGAGCTGGTCGTGTCCGGAGTAAGTCCCTCCATCATTTTGTCCTTGGTTTACTTTCCGCACACCTCCTCAGGAACTTAAAGGGCAGGGGAGCAGTTTAGAGGTGGCATTACAATTTTTATTCTAGCCAGACTGAATTCTTTAGCAGGCTATAGCAAACATTAGTAGACTGCACAATGTTACTATGCTACATGCTGAAATGTTTTACAGTATAGCATTAGACTTTTCATTTAAATTTCATATTTGTTTTTATTGTTAAAATATATTGGAAAACGTTCATTCTTACTGTGAGTGCAATCACCAGTCGAACATTTGACCTCTAACTTGCATTTTGGGTCATTCACACATGTTTAACACACAAATCCTGCATTTAGGCAGAATTCTCTCAGACTTCCACCTTGTGATGTCATGTGGTAATACAGGAAATGCTCCTCTGTGTATTTAAACTTCTCTAGAATTCTTTGGATAATTTCAGAAGTAGAATTGCCAATCTCTAAAATATATAAAAAACATCACAAGGTGGAACAGAGTATTTTGAGTTTTGGAGATGTAGACAGAATTACTCAAACTATGGCTGTCGCGGTTAGGGAATTTCTCCTGCGGTGCAGTATAGCGGCTCAACATCCGCGGTATGAGGTGATATCGCAGCCCCTCCCACACCCCACATCCCCCGGAGTTAGCGGCACTGAAAACTCTCCGATGATGGGCTTGTTGTTAAGATGCACATGTACCTTGGTTGTCACATGGATATAGCATGTGTAGCGTAGGAGAAGTAACATTTGGCTTTGGAACAAGTGCTGCTGCATCTCTCCAGCTCTCACTGTGGCAGCTCAGGTCAGAGTCCTGCTCCGGCTCGGGTACCCGCGGACTTAAGAGGGAGAGCCCCTAGCACAAGCACACGGAGCAGAGTGTCCACAAAGCGTGATCAGGGGACGGCTGCACTTGCCTCCGTGCGGTGCCGAGCTCTGCGCCGGTCCTTTTGCCTGTGGTCACCAGACAGTCTATGCGGGAGCACTTTAGTCCTGGGTCAGTCTTGATTTAGTCCTGGGTTAGTCCTGGGCCTCTTAGTACTGCGGTGATTCATTTTTGCGGTTATTGCGACAGCCCTAACTCAAACATGTGTGAATGAAACAAAACACAACTCCGGGTATGCCTTTGAAGAGGTAACAGCATTACAGCATGGCTTTCCCCCCTGGACGCCTACTAGGAACAACCCATACATATGTTACTAAGGCTACCCATAGAGCATAATTGCATAAAAGAAAACAGACTTCTACGAGTGATTATGAATTAATTTTACACTCATGAACTTAATTGTAACACAGACATATTTGGTATCTCTGGAAACCTTAGACTCTGAACTATTCATTTATGGATGTTTAAATGTGATTCAACTCATTTATAGGTGTATAACAGCTCACTGAAAAATGAGAGTTTACCTGGTCAGGTGCAAAATCGAAAACAAAAAACTACATTCAGCATTTGATATCTGCATGTTCTGAGTACTATATTCATTAAAAAAATTAAAAATATACTTTGTCAAAGTATTTAAACAGATTTCATATCACCAGATACAGTATAGCCAAGTGTGCACCTGTTTTTACCTGTTGTACACCTGTGTGCACCTAATTCATTTTTTCCATTTAGCTTATTCAACTTATTTAATTTATTCAACTCATTTAGCTTATTCAACTAATTCAGCTTATTATAATATAATAATATAATAATAAAACTCTTCCCCATCAGTGGGTGTCCAGTATTTGTCATCTTGTCTATTTTCTCGTGTGCAGAGCTCTGCATAAGCGTTTTTTCTGTAGCGATTCTGTTATACATCGCATCTTGGAAAAAAAGACTGAAATATTTTAAAGGACTAGCCTGGGCAACATCCAGATTTCAGGGCAATTTTGGTTCATAATCGAGTATAAAGCCCGGATAGTTTGTATGGAGTCCTGCGATATCCGAACAGACGCATCAGCGGCATTCTCATCTTCGTAAGATTCACTCTCTGTAAGTCCGTCGCTATCACAGTTTTCCACTTTATAATCAACTTCATCATCACTTTGAAATCAATAAATGTCACTTTCTCTAAACTTATCCATAAAATACGTCCGCTCCTCATTATTTCTAAAACTGTGCGCCGCAGCGCCGCGATCTTTCCATTGCACGTGTTTCGTGTTGTGTTTTTTCCGGAAGCTACCATCGTCACTACTTCGATTAACTTCGGAAAAAAATCTTTTTCTAAAGGTCATCAAATCACGTCTTTAGTGATACAGCGGAGGTGTCAAAAGTCGTCATTAAGGAAACAGGGGGGGTCGTCAAATGTCGTCTTCATTGGGGAAAGAGTTAAAGCTCACAAGAGTGGATTTGTGTAATACAAGACTTTTAATGCCATAAAGTGGAACTTTTCCGGCAAAGCAATTACATCTCTGTGGTAGACCCTCCACCTGGAAAGTTACATCGGTGTTAAAATAATGAACAAAGCCCCGTAGAGGCAAACTTCACTAGATTTACTATAATGTAAAGAACTTAATACTCTGCGGGTTCCTATTTAATTTGAAAACAAAACGACTGCATCCATTTACAGTGAACTCTCTGCTGGATACTTCTCATTTCCAAATGGGGGGATTAATCTGATGAAATGCACTGGCTACGTTGTTATTATAGTCCTATTATCTGTTGTTTTCCAGATAAATGAAAAATACTAAGCTCTAATAGTATGGGGGCTGTTGGCAGAGATAAGTCAGCAATTCACACTGTGCATTGCAATTAGAGGTTTATGTTTGTATACAATAAAGAGATAAGGGAAATAATGGCATTTTTGTGCTGGAAACAATCTCTTAAATGTGTAGATAAACTTGCGCAAGTCTATTGTTCATATTAATTAAAGGACCCATATTACGCTAATTTCTGATCTATAGTATAATGTTTCCTCATTAAAAACTTACCTGGAGTTGTGTTTTGTTCCATTCACACATGTTTAACACACAAACCCTGCAAATTTAGGCTGAATTCTTTTCTCAAACAGAAAATATGGTCTGTCATGTAATACAGGAACAGGTAGATCAGCACAGACAGACCAATAATGCAGGATTAGTCAAAAATGTGTGAATGAAACAAAACACAAATCCAGGTATGTTTTTAATGAGTTAACAACATACAAATATTGCTTAAAGCTCTCTAGAGTCAATTTTGCCTAATATAGGACCTTTAAGCCTTATTGGTTCTATTGAATAATCTTGACTGGACATCTGACATCTGATCTCCAGTCAGTGGCAGCTACAGCCTCAGAGCCCATTAAACACTGGAGTTTAAATTAGAGTGACCTTTTTCAATATTCCTCAAATCACCTTTGTTTGTGCCAGACTCTGAGGGCTCGTTACTGTTTGAGACCTTCATGGCTCAGTTGGATGTTAAACTATGAACCTCCTACAAAACATAAATATTGTCCTTTGCCAAAGACTGTTCTGCGCGCTCAGTTGGCTGGACCTTTTATCGCACAGTATTCTGCAAAATTGCTCAAAAGGGAGTGGTCAAATTTTATGATGTTTTTTAGTTTTGGACCCAGAGAAAGTAGACAGTTTTGGATGTGGATCTGACACATTGTCCCAAAATATTTTTCAGAAATCTGTAGTATTACTAATTATGTTGCTAATTCTATTCATTCACAATGTTGATGAAAATGTCTATTGTTGCAGATTATCACAAATGATCATATCATCTGGTGGTGGTAAAGTTAGAGCCTTGTTCCTAAATTAAATGAGTACTATTATTAATAAAAGTGTTAACATGTGTTCAAATCAGGCCAAGGTTTCAGAGGGCAAAATTTGCCCTGAAGTAAAATATAGTTGGCAAAATAAAGCTAGTAAGATCTCTAATAGAGGTAATTCTATTACTGGTGTGTGGTTTATTTAAGTGCCTTTATAGCAAAAGCCAGCTCTGGTTCAAATTGTGAAAGTTGTGTTTATATTCAAGAGGGTTTATCTTATCACTAGTGTTGTTACAATACTAAAAATTCTGATGTCATCATAAATGGCACTTACTGGTTACCATGTAGCTCAAATAAAGATTATTCTGAAATTGTTCAAGAAAAGTTTCGTCCTGGTTTGCATTTTTTCAGTATCTAATATCTAGTTTTGGATACTAGTTTTCGTATCTGATTTCCTATGCTTTTGACAGCCCTAATCTCTTTTATCTCACTGTGTTGGTAATTTTTCATTGCTAATAATATTTTTTTTTGTTTCCCATTTTCAGTTGGATAGTGCCATGTCACTGATCCAGGCTGCCAAGAACTTGATGAACGCTGTGGTGTCTACAGTGAAGGCCTCCTACGTGGCCTCCACCAAATACCAGAAGAACAAAGGAATGGAGGCCCTGAATATGCCCGCTGTCTCCTGGAGGATGAAGGCACCGGAGAAGAAACCACTGGTGAAGAGAGAGAAGCAGGATGACGGCCAAACCAACAGAGTCAAGAGATCGTCCCACAAGAAGCATGTCAACCCTGTGCAAGCCCTGAGCGAATTCAAGGCCATGGATAGCATCTAAGCATTATATTGTATTACGCTATAGAGAACATATATATGACCAATGATTTTATATAGAGCTTCTACAAGTGTTTTCAATACTGTAAAATGTTTTTCATTATTGTAGACAGCTTGTCAGACCAATTAAAATCACTCAGTTGTATTACTTATTGCTGTAACTGCTGTTGTAGCATTAATGGGGTGTTTTAGGAAGAACTGGACAAAATTTATTTCAGAAATATGTTTCCACTTTTTTTTTTTTTTTTTTTTTACAGTTTAACAGTACTTTTTTAACTGCCAAGAGTCCTTTTAATTTTGGGTTTGCTAACATTGTCTAGTAATAATATTGTCTGTCACCACTTAGTTTGATCTGAACTATGCAAATTCATAACTAGTCTGTAAAAAAATATTTTGTACTGGGATAACAGCCTCAATAAAATAAAAAAGATTTTTTTTTCATGTGCCCGATCTTACAGTAGTTGATTGCTCAAATACATTATACAACACTTGTAATAATGCTATTTTATGTTAACGTGAACTATCAAAAAACATCGGACTTGTGATTTTTAGACAGTACTTTGAAGTCACTTGAGGCATTAAGTGTCTAAAACTTGGCAAGTCAGTCCCAAATCCAGAGTGGGAAGAGAAAACCCAGTGGGCCAAACAATGAGCAGACCATGCTCCGACAAGCTTCATTAACTAACACTGAGACCAAAACACCTCTACGATCTTTAGAATGCATCTAAATGAGGGATCAATATGTTTAGTCTCCACCGCTTAGAGGTGGAGAGAGAGGGCTGACTTTTCATTCACTTTAAACTGTTTTTATTGTTGGGTTCTTGTCCCGAAGCTTGAACACTAATCAAGACTTATGTTGTGCACAATCGTTATGAAAACCCAGGAGCTTGCTGCAGTGTTGGAGCTTTAAAATGGGGGAAAGTATTTGCTTTTTACTTGTGCTGACTAGTTTGGCTCGTTTAGCTTAAGGGTTGTGAGATAATGTCCGTGACTGATTTGTGTTGGGGATCAATGTTTATGTTGAGCCAGAACAAAGGATTTGTTTCTATTTGACAAATGCATTCTAATTTAGACAAAACATCTCCATTTCCCCCAATTTTTATAGATAATTTTAACCTGTGTTGTTTTATTCTGGAGATAACAGTTTTGCTGTGGAACATTGTTTTATTATTGAGAGCTTTTTAGAGCATACTTTCTTATATTGTGCCTGCATTATCTAAATAAAATATTTTAAAACCTATTGACTGATTGAATTGTGTTTACCCTTCCTTCTGGTGTGCCTTCATGTAAAGATAAAAAGATAGTCTACCAACATCTACTGGGGTGTATTATGACTGGCTTTCTATATCATATTCTAGGGGGCGCTGTTAAATGTGCTACAAATGCATATGGTTTTAATTCACTTTGAGTAAAAAAGTGGATTTGTATTATTTAAAAAAAAAAAAAAAAACGGAAAATGGTTATTAGTAGATTATAAAGATATTTGGTATCAACAATTTATTGATTTTAGGCAAACATTTTATTCACAGATATTTTTTTTTTTTAAAGTTTAAATCAAACATAACACACTTGAAGAATGACCTGAAACTTTTTGCTAACTCATTTGGCCTAATTAAGAGAAACGAGGCTGGTTTTCTTAGGTCCTTTTTGAATTGTTTTAATTTATTCCTTAAAATTTTAACTTTGAAATTGTTTTGATGTGAACATGTTTTTATTCACTGTTTTTTACGCATTTATTTAATTTTCTTGTGAATTATATACTTTTATATATATACATATATAGTATCTGAAAATCTGAAAAAAAAAAAAAAAAGTGATGCCAAAGGTCACAAAGGTCACGGGCTAACGACGACCACGTGCTAAAATAAATGATAAATGAGCTAAAAGATGGCGTGTTTACTCATGGATCTATTGTAAATGTACAGATTCACTGGAAGAAGGAGAGAGAGCCAACTCTTAGACATGGGGTGAGTGCAAACTAATGTGTACAGTTTATGAGTGAACGAGTGTCTGAACCTTATTTTAATAAATCCATGGTCTGAACGTGATAAAGAAAAAAAAAAGACAAAAATCCGAACCACGTGCTCCCATCGCATTTGTTTTGGTTATTTGCTTTGGATGGACTTTGCTAACTATGGCTAATGTACAATCTATGCAATAATATGTAACTTAAGTCAATCTTGTTAGCCATTTCGTCTATTAATTAGGGTGACCAGAATTTCAAAATAAAATTGGGACATCTCCGCTTTTTTGGTGGTCGGTAATAATAAAATTGTGAAACAAGTGCGTAATTAAGGAAGACTTATGCAGAGACCCTTCATGACTAACATGTGAGTCAGTATAGTCACGTTTTCTTTGGTCGTTTTTAAGCAGCTTTTCTGTATTTTACCTTAACAAATTACAATTTAGGCCTCTCTTTACTGTTGGCTGGTGTCAAATTGGTCAAGAATAGGGACACCTGGGACATTTCTTGTGTAAAACTGGGACAAATCATTGGTTTTGGATAAATTTGCAGGGACAGGGGACACAGGGCTCGAAACTGGGACTGTCCCTGGTAAAGGATGTCTGATCACCCTAATGTGATGCTAAGAAAAGGTACTACTCTATCTGAAGCTCTCTTAATCTAATTGGACTTTAATCTGAGCTTTATTTTAACATAATTTGACCATAAAGAACTGACTTAGTTGACTCTACATACAACAGGTGAGCTGATTTGTGCTCTTAAACAAGTCTAAACCATAAAATTATAGTCACAAGCTAGCTAATATTGGCCATCAGTCTCACCTTATTACTGATAAACAGGATCATGAATGCTTGGATGGATCAATGTGTTGTTTAAATCTATTTTGATGCATTTTCAGACAATCTTAAATCTTTTTTGGCAGTGTTAGCTAATGTGTCCATTGGAGACAGCCCCAGTCTGATGTCATTGCAAAGTATCAAAGGGTTGGACTAATATAATCTGCATATTGTTCATATGTTTGCATGTATTTATGTTTAAAATCATTTGCATGTATGTGTATATGCAAATTTAATGGAAATAAAAAAGCATCCCTTTAGCGAACACGTCACGTAGCCTTATTACTTGTATTTTACTAACTGAGCAAATGTTATCCATCCAGGCCTCAGAACTTCAATCACAATGAAGAACCATGATAAAAGTGCAGAAAGGTGAAGTGTATATATAATATGTAACTACAAGAGGAAGTCATCACATCTACGGGGGCAACAAAGAGGACTATCAGCCTATCTGTGAGTGAGTAAGTACAGTATCTGTGCAACTGACTGGTCTGACTTAAGGTGACCAAAATTTCAAAATTCAAAACTGGGACACATCGGGGTTGGTGTTGTTGGTATAAATAAAATAGTGAAAAGACCGCTCAATATTGTGCATTCTCGTCATAATATTGTCGGTGCATTTTTTGGGCTTATTTTCATGCACAGTTTTCTGTATTTTAGTTGAACAAATGACAATATATTCCCCTCTTTACTGTTGGGGTGTATAAAATTGGTCCAAAATCTGGACGCGTGGGACATTTCTAGTGTAAAACTGGGGCAAATCAATGGTTTTGGATAACTCCACAGGGACAGGTCACACAGGGCTCAAAACTGGGTGTGTCCAGGGTTAATGTCTGATCACCCTAGTTTGACTGCATTTCATTATGTCAGTTGTCAATTTCACAATCTTTCCCTACATGGTACATTTAGCTCAAATATGCCATGTTTTATTAAGAGTTTTGTCTTAACCATTTTGAACTCTGCAAATTACTCATCTTAGAAGTGCATGTGAGAGAATAAGTTACTATGTTTGGCCTTGTGATTTCCTTTTAGGATGCACTATGCAAGTTTTCTGGTGGAGTGTCCATTTTACCACCTACTGTCTCCATGGAGATGTTATTGCTTTACATGAAATGTCCCCTAATGTGACATAAAATATATTTATTTCCATAGAGACCAGTTACAGTCTCAGATCTTTGGAGAGGCAAGGAGACCCACTGTAAGAATACATGTTTTAAAGGTATTTTTGACCAATAAAAACACATGATAACTGAATAATGCAAGATGGATACCTTTTAATGTGGAGCATTCTAGACAAAGCAGTAACATTTCCATGGAGAAAAGTAGGTATGAAATCACATCACAATATGAAAACAAATAATTGATGTCATTCTGCGAAGTACCACCCACCTTACATTTGTACAATAATTACTACGTTTCAATTTTCCGTGTTTCTAGTTAACCACCTGGCATCAACGCAGTGCTACTCATTTTCACAGTGCCCTCATTTTAAAATGCCAAACAAATTTTGGCTCGGTTTGTGTCCCAGTACTGAACCAAATTACACTAATGTTCCTAAGCAACCATTAACCACCAACACGGTTTTTGGTTCCTTTTTCATGTTTTAAATTTCAATTGTGATAACCTAAAATCTACAAAACTGCACCCTTAGCTCGCATAATTTCGGAAACCACCTTGATGCTTGTTAAATAATTGATTTGATTTGTTTAAGTAAAATACACAGTCTATTCTCTAAAGTGGTTGGCTGGTTTAATTCTCCCATCGCATCTGTTCCCTTTGCTGTTTTCTGGTGAGACTCCTGGTTGCAATAGTTCGTCTGTAGTGGCACAAATTAAGTTATAATTAGCTTTTAAATTGCCTGAGAATTGCCAGAATCATTGACTTTAATAGTACCTGCTGAAGTTTGCTCGCTGTACTATTACCTTAACCCACCTCACAATGCCTGTCTGTGGTCTATACAAACACGTCTTGGTAAATACAGCTATCCCATGGGGCCTCTTGACAGATAATAAGCAAGGGGCTGCCTCTGCGATGTGTAAGAAGGGGGACCTAAATTCACTCAGCCCTTGAATAAAAGAATAGCGAGTGCTCGCATGAGGCGTTCAAATGCAGATTCGCTCCAAAGGTGACAGCGTGGATAAGCCCTTTTTGTCAAATCCCTCTTCTGGTTTACGTTTTTTTTTTTGTTTTTTTTTTTTTTTGCTGTGTCACTCACGCTGCTCTGTTGCACATGACACGTTTGAACGAAGTTTTATCAATCTTCCAGGCCACGTGTGACAGTTTAATCAATAGGGGGAGGACTACTCATATTTTTTATATCTGAAATCATCTGATCTTCCTGTGTGTGTTTCTGCACTGGGTTCCTCCTGGCTTCCTCCCAACTTCCAGAGGCATGTTTTTTATGGATTATCTATTCCCCTCCACTGAATATGGATGTCATAATATCACATTTTAGTGTTAAGATTACTGTGAGAAAAAACATCACATTTTTACAATGAAGGATTTGAACAACGGTGAAAGTCATTAGCCATTTTCATTCACATTATCTAATAGATCACCATTGCTCTAGTAGGCGCATGTTTTTTTTTATGAACCTAATAATTTCTAAATAATAAAGTGAAGTCCTTGTGACAGAAGTTCCCATTTTAAAGATTCCCATAAGCTATTTGCAAATACCTTTTATACAAACAAAAGTCTTATTTAAAAAGCATTCAAACCGGCTAACTCTGTTATTTAGGCCTCTATACTTGTTAAGCAGTTCACATTTCAGTCTGCATGAGGTTAAAATGTGCACTCTGAAAATAATCCGAATGTGAAAACAAATTGCAAATCTTACTGGAGTCAGAAAAATTTCATATTTGTCCAAAGTTGTTCAGGCCTGCTACAGCTCCTCACAGTCGACTAAGAATAAGCAGAGAGACAATGCACTGATTGAATGAATGATGAGCGAGCGAGAGGCTGAACAGGTGCTGTGGAGGTGCAGGTGGAGCTAATAGCAGTGTCCATGAGCTATACATAAACCTGAATATGGGAAGCAGCGTGTAGGAGCGAGTGGCTGTAAACACCAGCAGCTGGAGTGGCAAGCTGTCAGCACTCAGGCGGCCGCCTCCGAAACGTGCGCTCAGTTTGGGCCAAATGCACATGTTAGATAAGGTCGAGACTGTGGGAAGAGTGGTCCACAAACATTGCTGATAATGGAGACACTTTGAAAAATGTTTAGAAAATGATTTGTTATTTGTTTTCATGCACTTTCACTGGAGTCCATTACCAAGATAACAAAAACAATAAAATATGAAAATAAAAGGCCAAAAATTATATTTTGACACAAAATTACATTTGTGAGCACATATTTATCATTTCTGTTTACTGTGGTGTCAGTATGCTGTATCCAATGCTACTTTTTATGTTTGACAGTGATAAAACTAATCTAAGAGATGATAT